GGTGCATTCGCACCATTTCTGAACCCTGTGGTACTGTGTCTGCTGGTCCATCTAAGATCTCCAGGCATAGTAGGGGTATGTTTTAGAATTAAACTACTATGCTGGAACGTTCGGGGCCTCAATAGTAGTAGAAGGAAAAAAGATGTCTTGTTTTTGGTTAGGCAGGAAAAGCCTGACATTCTAATTATACAGGAATCAAAGATGGAGGCCCCGAAAGTCTGCTAAATTAGTTTGAGGTCAGAGACTAATGGACTTTGTCGGTTTTGATTCTAATGGCTTATCACAGGTGGTTTGCGGGTCATATGGGACCCGAGTGTGGTTCAAAAAGATGATTGTGTTTTAAATAAAAGACATCTCCATTTTGTTTTCTGGCCCTATGAATGGTTTTAAATGGTGTTTAACAAATGTATATGGTCCCAACTATCCCGATGAAAGAACACAATTTTTTGATGACCTAAATGCTTTGACCAATTTCGCTAATGTGCCATGGTGTATTGGAAGTGATTTCAATGTGATTCGATGGCCTAGTGAATCCTCAGTTAATCCTGGGATCACTCTTTATATGCGATGTTTAATTCTTTTATTCAGAATAATGAACTTCTGGACATTCCTTCGATTGGGGCCGTCTACACCTGGTCAAACCATGCTCTTTCGGACCCTACCCTTACCTGCGCAGATAGGTTCTAAGTGACCAACTCCTTTCTTAATAAGTTTCCAAATCTTTATGTTAAAACCTTAGTGAAAATTGCCTCCGATCATGTCTTGCTCCTATTGAATTCGGTGGGTATGAAGTTTGGCCCTTTACCTTTTAGAATGTAGCTAAATTGGTTATCAGATAAATGCTTTATTAAGTTGGTGGAAGAGTTTTGACAAAATACCAAGATAGAAGGTTGGGTGGGTTATCAATTTACTACTAAATTGAAAATATTGAAGAAGGAAATCTGTAAATGGTAAAAAGAATCTTGGGGTAAGCTAGAGACAAAAATTGCAGTGACAGAAGAAAAACAAAAACAAAAACAAAAAAACAAAAAAATATTTTGAAGAGATTGATGTTCATAAACATGATAAGGATTAATTAATTGAGAACTAGTTTCAGAAACTTTTCAGGGGTATAGGTTATTTCAAAAAGATGTTCTTGTTTGGAAAACATGGGACCTAAATCCGGACTAGAAGAGAAAACACTATCTAAAGAGATATCAGAAACATTATCTTCTGCCATTTTGAAATAATTTACTATGTTGACTGTAAACTTTTGACATAAAGGTTAAGGCCTTCTTTCCTTGTCTTGTTAACAAAGTATGAACTCCTTCCACGGCCTTCTTGCCTTTAACAGAGCTCCTGTTATGTTAACTCTCAGAAAATATTGACAGTGGAATAACATCAACACGTGAAATTAACCTTTAAATCATACTATGTTTTCTGATGTGAGAGATCCTAGATCAACTAGGCAGACGCAGAGCATACTAATCTCAGTATGAACTACCGATTAACCCAGCCAACATAATAAATATAGAAAATAATCTCATATCACCTGGCATTGACTCTGATATAAGGCCAGTTTAAATGTTGTTCTTTCAAGAGACAAGATCTTGAAAAACATTTTTCAGAGATGAACAAAAGAAACCATAAAAGAGGACAAATTGATGATATAAATTTGAAACAATTTTATCTTGAATCCATACCTCCTACTCTTGGTAAAGAAGCAACAAAGACAATGGAAAATGAAGGACTTACTATTCAAAACACCAGTTTTGGTGAATTATACCAGTTTGTTCTCCATGCTCTAGAAAGACTCTGCAACCAAGTTGAATTTGTGAAACAAATGGAAAAAAATAAGTATTTACTGGGAAAATCTTGTGTTAAACCATATCTCAAGATTAAATGTGATGCAGCAAAACAGTGTTCATGTCCACCTACCTTGAAAGGAAAACAGAAGTTTGAACAAAAAAGAAAAAAGAAGATAGATCAAAGAAGATAGAACTTAACAAGCGCACACCAAAGTTTTAACTAAACATAAGGATCAAACTTACAAGCAAGAGTAGAAGTAAAAAGCTTACAAGCACAAGCAGAAGCAAAAATGGGAAGAAAGAAGAAGCACACCAAAAGAAAGAAACTAGGCTGAGAGGCTCTAAGTAGCTCTTTGCCATTACAACTGACTTAAAGGGCTTTTATATCAGACTGTTGTGCCAATTCCCACTCTGAATTTCTCAAAAAATGTACCAACCCCTATGGAGAAATCAGAATTTTTATGTTAAACTGCCTTTTAAGAAAAATGAAGACATAAATCCTACAAAGGCTTCTCACAGAGGTTTAAACCCAGATTTGTTGGAACAAGCTAAGCTAGAGATACAAGATTTGATAAAAGAACAGTTAATTGAGCCTACCAATTCTCCTTGGGCTTGTGAAGCTTTTTATGTAAATAAAAGAGCTAAACAAATTCAAAGACAAATCAGGTTAGTGATCAATTACCAACCTTTGAATACTTTCCTTGCAGATGATAAATACCCTTTGCCAAATCAAATTGCACTATTTTCTCAGATTTCACATGCTCACATATTTTCAAAATTTGATTTAAAATCAGGATTTTGGCAAATAGGAATTCACCCAGATGATCGTCCTAAAACAACCTTCTGTTTACCAAATTACCATTTCCAATGGACGATCCAATTTATGAGAAGGATCAGTGCCACCAGAAAAAATGAGGGAAAGAAACAACTCTCTTGCTTCTTTGCATGACCTTCTGAAATTGGAAGAAGTATATTGGAGGCAAAGATCTAAAGTGAAATGGTTAAAGAAAAGAGATAGAAACACTAAATTCTTTTATGCTATTGCTAATGCTAGAAAAAGGGGTAACTCCATTAGTAAAATTAAAATGGGAGATGTGGAGCTTACTGAACCAAGTAGTATTGAAATAAGTTTAATTAACCATTTCAAGGAAGCTTTTACAGGGGAAAGAAGAAATCATTTTAGTCTTTAGAATGTCTTCTTTGATAGATTGCGTTCAGAAAGGGCTTTATGGCTGGAAAGACCTTTCAAAATGGATGAGATAAGGCACCGAGGCCAGATGGTTTTCCTTTAGCTTTTTTTCAAACCTTTTGGGAGCTTCTAAGGGAGGATCTTTTTTTACTCATGGATGAATTTTATCATAGAGGTAAAATCTCGACAACAATAAATTCTGCCTTTATTGTTTTAATTCCCAAAAAATTTGTTATAGAGAGTGTGAAGGACATATGGCCTATTAGCCTTCTGGGGAGTGTTTATAAAATTGTTGCAAAGATTTTGACAAATAGATTGAGAGAAGTATTGCATCTGGTTGTGAAAGGTCTTCAGTTTGCTTTCCTCAAAGACAGACATATTATGGATAGTATCTTATTGGCACAAGAATGCATACACTCAAGGATGAAAGAGCAAAAACCAGGTCTTTTATGTAAAATAGATTTTGAAAAGGCATATGATAAAGTGGATTGGCATGTTCTACATGAAATCTTGGGGAAGATGGGTTTTAGATCACGTTGGAGAGTGTGGATCCAGGGATGTTTGAAGTCAACTCATTTCTCTATCCTTTTCAACAGAAAATCTTGTGGTTATTTTAAAGCATTAAAAGGAATTTGGCAAGGAGATCCTTTGTCCCCATACTTATATACTATTGTGGTAGAAATTTTTAGTTCTATGTTGAACTCTGTGGTGAGTGGAGGTCTTATTTATGTTGGTAGACTAACAATCTCTCATTTACAATATGCAGATGATACTCTTATCTTTTGTAGCCTAGAGGAACAAGAAGTAAGGAATTTGTGGGTGTTCTTAAAGTGTATGGAAATGGCAACGGGTCTCAAAGTGAATTTAGAAAAGACAAATTTGATTGGGATTGGAGTTTCAGAGAATGTGTTGGCATCTTTGGCAGAAATTCCTGGACATGGGGTTGGCAAGTTTCCTTGCAAATATTTGGGCGGTCCTTTATTTAGAGTAAACCAATCGACAGCTATTTGGGATCCTATTATTGAAAGTTTTAATAAGAAACTGGATCTATGGAAGTCTAAAGTGTTGTCAGTTGGAGGAAGATCGACTCTTATCAACTCTACCTTGTCCAACTTACCCATCTATTTTATGTCCATTTTCAGAATGCCAAAGCAGGTGATGAAGACTTTGGAAAACACTATGAGATCTTTTTTATGGGGCAATGTGGGAATGGGAAAAAACTGAAACATGTGAATTGGGAAAAGGTATGCATTTCCAAGAGAGATGGGGTCTAGGAGTTAAAAAGCTCAAATTGATGAACACTAGCCTATTGACTAAGTGGTGGTGGCGTTTCCAAAATCAGCAGGATACCTTATGGGGAGAGGTATTGAAAGAAAAATATCACGTAGATATATTGATTGGCCTCATTAAAAGTCCAAGATCTAAGGTTGGTTTTTGCAAGTATTTGGAAAGGAATTGATGTGTGCCAATCATTATATCTTAGTCATTGTCGCAAAGTGGTTGGAAAGGGAGATCAAACCCTGTTCTGGTTTGATAAGTGGCTGGGAGACCTTGTTCTTCGAGATTCTTTCCTTGAGGTCTTCTTCAAAGTCGACAATCCATTGGCCTCAGTGAAAGATCTCATAGGAGTTGATTTTGTTAACTCTTTGCAGGTTCAGGAGGGTCTTAGATTCTTTCTTTCATGAGTTCCAATTGCTTATGAATCTGTTGCATAATTTTTTCTATGTTCCTAATAAAAATGATTGATTGGTGTGGGAACTCACAGCTTCAGGGGATTTTTCAGTTAAGTATGTCTATCGACTGCTGCATGAGGAGAATCACAGAGCGATTGATCGTAGTTTAGCATGAATTTGGAAATTGCATGTGTCGCTGAAGGTTCAGTTATTTTTGTGTATAGCTCTTCAAAAAAAGCTGCCTACTATGGATAACCTAGAGGTTTCATAATTGTCAATGTTTGTAGGCTATGTTTGAGGGATAACGAAAGTGTGGACCATATTCTTTTACATTGTCCTTTCACTCTAAGCATGTGGGATTGGTGTAAAAAGTTGTTGAATCTAAATATCCTGACCCCACAAAACCTAGAGTTGATCCTCTCTCAATGGATGAACCCTGGTCTATCGAAAGTTGGCACTGTGCTATGGAGAGCTTTATGGGTGAGCACTATTTGGAATATTTGGAAAGAGAGAAATAGAAGAACATTTGAAGGGACACAAAGTGAGATTGAAGTTTTGAAGTCCAACACCTTAGCAACAGCAGCTGAATGGTTTTCAACCAACAAGGATTGTAAGTTTATCCCAAAATCTCATATTTTTGATAACCCATTTGAAGTTGCTAAGCTTAATATTGATAGGCAAACTCGAATTGCTATTTGGATGCCTCCTCATGAAAATTGCTTAAAACTCAACTTTGATGGAAGCTCGATTGGAAACCCAGACTCAGCAGGTTATGGTGGTACCATTAGAGATCATATGGGTAATTACAAATTCACCTACTCGAACCATGTGGACATACAACAGTGAATGAAGTTGAGGCAAGAGCTCTTTTAGAGGGTTTAAAGATAATAAAGAACCTCGAGGGCCAAAAGATGATTGAAGGTGATTCAAGCAATGTCATTGCATGGGCAAAGGAGATGAAGCCACCTTGGAGATTATGCAGCATTTTTGATGAGATCTTTTTCATTTTAAGCAGTGGTTCTTTTGAGTTATCTCATTGTTTTAGGGAGGCTAATATAGAAGCTGATGCTTTAGAAAAGGGTGGTGTGCACCAACATTCTTTGGTGGTTACATCCTTTGAGAGGCTAGAACCTTGGAAATGATCTTGTAGGTCAAGTTAATAAGGCTAATTGGGTGATAATCTTTAAGATGCTTCACTCCATCAAATTTAGGGACAAGAGTGAGTAAGCATTCATTGCTCTATTCATGACTCCTTTCGAGTGGAGTTGTTCGAATAGACTGAGGATGTCACTGCAGAAAGAATCTTAGAAAATTTTGAAGGGAGCCAGCGGGTAGCCATCAAGGCCAAGAGCCCTTTCGGGAGCAAGTTGATTTAGGGCTGCTCGGATTTCTTCTTCTGAGAAGGGTCTCTCCAGCCATATAACTTTTTCTGAGGGGAGAGATAGAAAGGAGAGATCACCCATTTTGGGTTTGGGGCGGAGGGAGCACAAATAATTGTTTGAAGAAAGAGATAATGGCTTCTTTAATCTCAAGAGCTTGATCGAGAATTCTATTGCCTACTATTATGTGGGAGATTGTTTTGTCTCAGCTCCTATAGTTTGTTATTTTGTGAAAAAACCCAATGTTCAGGTCTTCGGAGTGTAACCCCTTAATCTTGGACCTCTGGTACTAATAAATCTCTTCCTTTTTGAGAATTGATTGGTACACAATCTTGAGTTGGGATCTCAATTGTTGTTCAGGGACCAAAAGAAGCTTGGATTCTTCCGAGATGTCTAAATTTTGTATCGCTTAGAGGGTAGTCGATTTTTGGGTTTCGAAAGACCGAGGCAGCAAGCAGCTCCAAGATTTTGAAGACACCTTTAGAAGTTGAAGCTTTTGTTGAATTCTGAATCCTGCCAATCCAGAGACCGACAAGGAAAGAGACTCCCATTGAGAGGGAATAAGGGACAATAAAGAACTTTCTTCAACCCTTGTCATTTCAAATCTGAAAGGTTTGACAACTCTCGAAGCAAGGTTGGTGTCCAACAATAAAGGGCAATGGTCGAAGGTGGATTTTAGTAAAGCAAAGATGTGAGATCTAGGAAAAGCAGAGTCTCACTCCAGACTTACCAAAAACCGGTCAAGTTTGGAGAGGATAGGAGAAGAGGTGTGATTGGACCAAGTAAATTGAGTTCCGTGGATGGAAATGTCTAGAAGGTTGTTTCGGGATACAAAGTCAGAAAAAAGGAGCATGGCCGGAGTTATCCTAGTGCTAGTATTCCTTTTAAAAGACCATCTGGTCACATCAAAATCCCCCCCAAAGCACCAAATAGGGTGGGGGAGAGAAGTTACTTGGTTGAGTTCATCCCAAAAGACGAGAGACTCGGAGTTAGGGACATAGACAGCACTAAACTTTCAACACAGTCCATCAGGAATTCTAGAGAGAAGCACTAAAACAGAAAAGGATGCGATGTGGGTTGAAGAAAGGTTATGGGCTGTAGGGTCCCATATCACCCAAATGACACCTGAGGCCCATTTAGCAGGTAGGGATTCCCACTAACAAGGGTGGAGACCTCACACTTGTCTTACTTGATGAAGCATTGGGGAAGGTAATTTAGTTTCATTTAAAGCTAGAATTGAAGGGTGGTGCTTGAGACCAAGGTCCCTGACTGCATTTTTCTTGTGAGACAGTGCTAGCCCTCTAATATTCCTGGACATGATAATCATTTGGAGGAAATAATAATGGGGGTGCTCCTGGGGGAGCGGCTGGGTAGAATTCCATTAAGGGGAGCTTCAACAGCTAAGGGGGTAATCGAGAGAGAAAGAGGGGACACTCTGTCATAGTTGATACTGCAAGCGAGGTTGGAGACCTCTCACATGCCCTTCCAACTTGCCCTGAACCTTGATTGAGTGTCAGCTTTGAAGAAGGAGTGGAAAGGGCCTTCAGGACCACTGTAAGGGAAGCCCATAACATTAAGCACCTCCCGAATGTTACCTTGCGCTGCGTCCATGCTGTCATCAAAGGAAGAGCCCACTGAGGGAGGAGAAGGGCATGAAGAAGGGTCCTCATGGGAAGAGGAATCGAGCTGACCATCATGCGTGTCTCCAGCTACGGATGAAGAGGCAATAGGGGAATGCAAAAGGGAGGAAGGAAGGGGTAAGTCCAGAAGAGGGTGGTTTTCCAGAGGAGGGGGGCTTAAAGGAGAGGGAGAGGGGCTAGAGGGTTCTGTGAAAGAAGAGGGCTCAGGTGGGGTAATGGGTTCAGGGGTAGGTGGGGGTCTTGGAATATTTGCTAGAGGGGGAGAGTTGTAAAAGCCAGGGTTCACTGATGGGTGAGAGTAGATGGATGGGGGGGGGGGATATTGTTATGGATAGCTTCCTACATTGGAAGGAGGGAATAGCAGAGGGAAGGGGGGGATAGTCAAAAGGTAGGGCGAAGGGGTCACTTGGCTGGCCGCCATAGGGTTTAAAACCCAACGGAAAGAGGTTGAAGGAGAGGGAAAGGGGAGGAGAGGAAAATGAAGTGGATAGGTGAGAGTGGAGGGGGTGGGCATAAGGGGGCCAAAGGCAAAACGGGCAAATTGGGAGAGGGGAAGGAAAAAGATGGATGAGCCTGGAGGGGTTCGACTGGGATTTCAAGGCTAGAAAAGTCGTATGAATCATCGAGATCCCCAAGGTGGTGGTTCACAGAGAAAAGGGGAAGAGGAGGTGATAGGCGCCTTTCCATGCCTGAAGAAACTGCCAAGAGAGGGAGGTCACCGGGAGAGGGGAGGGATTCCGGCCGGCCAGATGAAGGAGCTGACGAGAGGGAGGGATCTCCAGGGAGAGGATTGGGGAGCTTCGAAGGGCAAGCAGAGAGAGCTCCTGGAAGAGGAGACGTGAGAGGAGCGGAGAGGTCAATCAACGGCGGCGACCTTAGAATGGGGTCAATGGGAGAGGCGGTGGTCGGTGAGAAAGGGGATATGGGCTTGGAGTCAAAGGGAAAGAGGGAGAGGGGGGGAGGGGAGGGAAGACATTGTAGATCACTCTCATCTTCTGTATATGTGCGAGATTGGATATAGGGGCTCTAGATTTCATTTCTCTTACTATGCATGGTCTGCCTCTGCCTCTGCGTCTGCCTATGATGGTGAAAGGAGGGAATAGGATTGAAGTCACAATGGGAAATAAGTATTTGATTATCACCTGTATGATTCTTGGTTCAATGTTCTACGTAATAACAGGAAAGGGAGACATGTGAAATCTTGACGCCCATATTTCAATATTTGATCAATTCCTCTCCATTTTTGGTATTGCATGACAGTGAAATTATTGTCTTGAGTCACATTTTCTGGAGAAGTGTTGCATAGCATGAAGCTTTTTACTCATGAAAAGAAAAAGCATGAAGCATTTTGTGTTGACGTGAGGAAAGTACTAAGGCTTGACAGTGAGGCAGGAGCTTTCTGGTTCATATATCAGAAGGCTCTAGTAAACAGTAAGAAATTGTGAAGAAAAATAAGTAGGAGAGATTTTATTTTGCTTCTTGATATAAATGCAAGGCAAGGTATTTTAATGACATAACAATCCGTTTTGTCAGAAAGAGCCATCAAATTGATTGAGCAGCTATGGGGACCTTGAGTATGCCTTGGAAGTTCGACGAGCCACCAAACCTAGTATGAACCTACATTGGTCTGTCTCCTAATTGCTGGGTTTGGGGGTTGCGTGTAGGTGTCCTTGATACCAAGTTGGAGGCTCATCCATCGCCTGATTGGTCTACCTATAGTATTCAATCTTCTTTTATTTTATAACAAATGACATGCTAAGGCTTCAGCTTGACAAATCAAATGTGCTGCCCACGCATTAGTCTGTAAGAGCCTATTCTAGATCGTAAGAGTTCTTTTCTAAGCAACTTAGCCTTCAGCTTGATGTTTTTCTAGTTTGGGCGAGTGAGGTCAAGGGTTCGAACACTGGAACTTTGTCACGAGAAGCCCAAACAAGCTGACCTACCTGCGGGATTTAGTCTTGCAGATGAATGGTTAAGGTGTTGACAATTGGCATATAGTGTATCAAGTTCTCCTGTTGCAGAACTACAAAAATAAAAATAGTCTATAAGAGCCTATTCTTTGATTGCAAGAGTTCTTTTCTGAGCAATACTTAGCCTTCAGCTTGATGTTTTGACATTCTAGTTCGGTTGAGGGAGGTCAGGGATTCGAACGTTTGAACTTTCTCAAAAGAAGCCCAAACAAGCTGGCCTACCTGTGGGATTTAGTCTTTTCATTGAATGGTTAAGGTGTTGACAATTGCCACAAAATGTATCAAGTTTTCCTGTTGCTGAACTACCAAATTAAAACTAAAAAGGACGGGAGGGATTATATTTTTCTGATCGGTAAAAAGAAGAAATATATTCTAAGAAACCCTTGCATGAACTTGGGAAATTGGAGAAGGGTGCATCGAATAGTTTGGAAATGAATTTTATGTTTAAAGCTGTGTTTACCTAGACACTGACACAAGTATCTTGTCTGAGGGGTATCAAAATTGTCTAGTCTATAGCCTGAAAAGCCAAAACGGCAGGACATGTTAATTTCCAATATATATATATATATATATATATATATATAGAGAGAGAGAGAGAGAGTAGTACACTA